GTCCTCTTTCTTTTCTTTTCAATTTTCGGGGGGTTGACCAATGAATTTTTGAGAAATTTTCACCAGAAGCAGACCACGCCTAAAATGCAGAAAATGTCCCTATCCAGAAAAGTAGCCATTTTGAAAAACCCTCCCTCAGCAAAATGGCTCAAATAGTGCCACTTTCAAACCCGATTGCATCCAAATTGCTCAGAACTGGAAGCCCTGAGTCCGGCCCGGAGGTCCAGTCTCATATTTCTTCAATTCCTCAGTTCCGTGGCTCTCAGGACCCTCTAATATAGAATATTTTGACTGTATAACTCTTATTTATGAGCTCGGCGGACATATTTCTGGCCTAATTACCAGGGTGCACCCACCAAGTGGGGCCCGGCCCTGAAGTGCTGGGAAACGGCGAGGTTCTGAGTGTGTGGAGAATTCTTCAAGCCGCCCCCTTCCACAAGAAGGTCTCTTGTTTACACACATATGCACATCTGTTTGGAGAAGACTCTTGCTAACTTGCCAACACTCATTTATGCAGACTCCTTTATCTATCCGATACATTTCTCTTGCATATCTTTTCTCTTTCCTTTGTGCTTTTTTTTTTTTACAGAATATGATTACCCAAACCATGGAGGTAGAATCAACAGCCTACGAGTGACGCTGACTATACTGCTATACTACGCAGGGCACTAGTCGGCCATATGTGCCATTAACCCAAACACCCTAGGGTGTATGTAAAATCGTATTAGAATTTGAACATTTGGGAGTGTTAGGGTTAATCTAAACGACAACAACAATGGGGCAGCGCGGACATCCGGGATTCTCGCAAAATGCAGCTACTCAGTACGCCGGTGAAAACAGCGACATTAGCGATGTACGTACGCTCGCACAAGCCAGTCCGAGGATCGGCTTATACAATCTTTCCTTGATCGGTACGTACGCGTGCGCTCGTTGCAGTTGTTTTCATTGGTGCGGTGTGGCTGTTACCCGTATTTTTGTGAAACTCCCGGATGTCCGCACTGCCCCACAGACTGCCCACAGCCTGGAGCTAGTTCCAGCCGTAAGAAGTATATATTTTGACAGTTCTAGACCAGCATTTTCCTCCAATACCTACCCGACTAAAAAAGTGAATCCCCAAAATAAAAAGGGAAATCCCTAAAATAAAAAGGGAAATTCCCAAAATAAATCAACTCAACCACCTCCCCTGAGTACCTACCCGACCCCCCTCAACCAACTCAAAAAACTCACACCAACCGCGTCACACATCAACTCACAACCCAACATCTTGTTGCGCATCAATTCCCTTGCTTTACTTGTGGTTGCTCGGATGAATAGATGTATTAATACCAATAAATGATATTTTAATTATAAAGTCTATTAATACCACAAGAATATTAGTGACATGTTATTTTTGCAAAAACATAAGTGAATGTGTGTTAATGTGACAGACGCTTGTGATTCTAACCGTTGTTTAGATTCTATTCATATCGGTTGATGTAATGTGTGTGTAAGTTGCAAATATTGCAATGACTGTGAAGACTGTGCAGATTGTTTTAATTGCAAAAAATGCAGTAATTGTTAAAAATCTCGTAATTGTTTTAACTGTAAAACTCGCATCGGATGTGAAAGCAACAAAGATTGTACAAACTGCATCGCGTGCGAAGACTGTAAAAATGTGAAACCTACGATGACTGGGAAAGCAGTAACAGTTGTAAAAGATGCAAAGATTGCATAAAATGTTATGATTGTAGACAATGTCCTGGTTGTGATAATTCTAATAATTGTGAGCGCTGTGAAAACTTCATCAAATGTAAATTATTTCATCATTAATCAAATGTATCGATTGCAAAGCTGCAACGATAGTTTTTGTTGTATCAACTGCCATGATTTATGTGGTGAATCTTATTTAGCATTTGTATATGACGACAATAGCGGCTATGGTTGCTCCAAGAGGATGAGATTTAGCACACCAGACGACCCCCTATCCCAAAACTGACTTGGATCCAGAAGCAAGAAAACTAGGCTTAATAACTGAATATAACGAAGATGTAGAAATAACCGTGGGAACTTATTATGTTTAAACAACTGAGTAATTATTAAAACAATGGACGTTTATTATGCATAAAACCTCCCCCAGAAGCATACAGGAAAATCGAAGAAGACACACGCCCTCACATCGATAAAAGAATAGAAAACAGACGTGTATAATGTCACGATTGTTTTAGAATGTTGTCCCCTTATTCAGACTTTGAAGTGGTAGAACGTAGGTGGGAAATATAACCAGTGTTTTGTTTACAAAAAGCCCAAATCTAAAACGAGCAAAATATTTAAAGAATTAGACATTCAATTGACTACCGAACAAGTGGGTCACGAAGAACACAAATTAAACCGAGTTTTAGCAGGTAAGATTTCCAGAGGCAAATCACTCAGGACGTTGGTGGCATGTATTATCAAGACGTAACGAAAGAAACTATATAGATATAGTAAAAGACTTGTTTCAAGTCTCGGAGAAACACTTCAACGATGCCGTCAATAAATTGAGAACCGGTTAGATTTTAAAAACCGGTTTATATAAAAAAGGGAACGCATTCTTTTTATTTCGCCAAAAGTGAGCAGACGTTTGAATTAGAAAATGCCATCAATAATTTAAAAGGCGACAAGGCCGTACAAAAAAGTAAGCTTTCACCCGGGATACTTCAACATTACAAAATCTACCGAAATCGAACGGCAAACTCAAGTCGAAGGAAGTCCTGCTTTGGGTACACCCGAAGGACGCAGGCGTGAAGAGTGAGAAATACCCGATGCATCATCACCAAGCCCAGCAAATACGAGACCTTGTAGGCAAGATATTGATACAAGTATTAAAGAAATATTTGAACTTACGGTACCATTCTCAGAATTAGAAGCAGATAGTTCAGTTTTGTTTTATGACGTAATAAGAGATTACCTCCGAGCATATGAGGCAGGAAATCTAAATGAATATAGCGCCTCATGAACCAAAAAACAAATGACCTCAACGAGCAAAAAGCAAACTTGCAAAGATTATATCTAAAAGAAGGATTTATTAGAAATCTAGCAAAAAGCAATAGAACATCTTTTGCTTGTAAATCAAGAAAAAAATGATATCTATCAAGAAGCCCGCCGTATCGCCTTAGAATTCACTCGCGAGGGATTTTTAGGTGACGACAACGAAGAAAGAACGATAACTGAGAACATTAGGGCTGCACAAACTGAACCCAGAGACGCCCTGTTTGTTATTGGTTCTGATTCAAACGCCCCGGTCATGCGACAGTTGCTCAAGAGAGAAACCCCCGGTGATTTTTTGCAAGGTGGAGAACGCGGTAGTGTAATTATTCCTCCGGGGTTTTATAACGTAGATTGGTTTGATTTTATTTTAAACGCTATTCCGGGTGTGAGTTTTAAAGTTCATGAGAAGTCAAACTTGGTGTTTGTCAAATATGTACCCTACGCTAGAATTACTAGACAGATCATCAAAAGCCACTGAAACGTTAGCCGTAGCAACTAAAGTCTACCGCCTTCAAAAGATCGAAGACATCCGCGGACAAATCTTACGAGAACGCGATGCCAGAGAAACTTCTTACAAAAAGATCAAACGGCTATCAACCGCATTAAATTATGTGGAATACGGAGTCGAAGCAATAGGAGTTACATCTGCCGCCAATGGTGAATTTGGTGCTTACGCGTTGTTAAAACACACAAGTCGGAGGTTGACTCACAAACCAAAATCACGATCAAATTAAAACACCATTGACGAATACGTCTCACATTATATTTGATCGAAGACGGTGACGTGTCTCAAGAAGAATTTGTTTTGATTTTGTCCGAAATTGGAAAATTTAACGGGATGAAGGAAAAGATTCGCGCAAACACAACGACTAAATTACAAGAAAACAAAATGAAAAGCAAAGCAGAATTTGACTGCCAAGTGCAAGCCAAAGCGGAAATGTTGGCCAATGAAAGGGCAGCAGTTAAAAAAAAGACCTTATGTAAAAACTTGGCGAATAACTATGTCCAAGTCTGTCTAGTACTAGGAATCACCGCCTGCCTATGAACCAAGGAAACCCACCCCGCCTCCTTTTTAAAAACCGGTTTATTATAAAACAAATAGAAGCCAAGTTTTGTCAATTATCGATAGTAGTTATTAAAGACTATTACTTTTCTGCCGTGTTTTCCGATTTAATCTCGGCTTATAAGTACCGAGAGTAAAAACAGTCGAAGTGGTCGTCAGATGGTCGACAGACCCCATATCATTTTGTCAAAACCAATTTAATTACGCGGTCTATTGTGCGACAACAGCATGTGGGGTAGTATTTGACCTATTATCCAATCCGAATCCGTATGTGTCTGCGTTGTT